CGATTTCCGTCCCTCTTGTGAGCGCAACAAGGTGGACTCTCTTCTTCTGTTTCCTCATTTTGACTTCCCTTACATTTTAGTACTAGTTTTCTGGTTTACTTGGTTCGTTTTATTCATGAACCGTTGTCGACTTTCGTTATGCACAACCATGGTAATGCCCAAGAACTTGTTCATACTTCTCATTGAATGCGTTCTGTTTTATGTTTATGTTCAAACCAGTTAGCTGGTCACTATATTCAGTGGTAAATGATTTGCTTTACTCAGTGTTGCCCGTTTTGATGACTCTTATTCAGAAATTTCTCGTTGAATCGTCTTGTTTTTGGTCGGGGGAAGGGAGTTGATCACTGAGGTTGTTCTTTTTCTTTGTTCTGAAGGCATGGGTGAAAGGCTCCTCCTGGATTCCTATCTTTGATGACGATGACGGCATTGACCCTGGAACTCTTTCCAGAAAAGTCACCAACTTTATGATGGGTACTAATGCACTATGACTTGTTAACTTCAGTTATGTGATCAAATTCCAACCAAGTGTAGATATTTTCATCCGATGAGTTTTGGTTGTACAAGTTTTAACCATGTTTGCTGCGTCCACAGGGGGGTGGTGGAGTGGTGCCCCTACAGTGTCTTATAATCAGTATGTTGGGGGCAGTATGACCTTCTCATGTGCCCTATCTTTGGTTATGCCTAGTGAAACATTCTCAACTTCTTCTGTGTTCTTTTAACTTCTTCTATACAGACAATTTTTGCCAAAAGTCGAGGAGAAATTCCCGAAAGATGTAGAACTGATTGTTGCTTGTCAAAAAGGATTGAGGTATTCTCCTTGGGAAAGCTACTATGATTCTCAGTAGCTCTCTATCGAACATCATAAGAGTGGGTTCTAGATTTTGGTAAATAAAATTAGTATCACTTTTGAAGGTAGTTTGGCTTTAGAACGCCTGAAAATCCGAGGGCTCAGCTAACATGACAATATTTTCCCATCAGATCTTTAGCTGCCTGTGAGCTACTGTATAACGCCGGATACAAGACTCTTTTCTGGGTACAAGGGGGTTTGGAGTCTGCTGAGGAAGAGGTTAGGCACAAAATGCTTTTTAGTTCGGAAATATTTTGCTCTGTTCTTTTGGAGTCTTTCATCTAATTTGATTTCTTGATTAGAAAGTCGGTTTGAATAATTGCCAACTGTATTCTGAACTAGGATCTGGTCACAGAAGGTTCTCAGCCCTTGAAGTTTGCTGGAATCGGGGGGTTTTCAGAGTTCCTCGGGTACATCTCGTTAGATCATTTCACTTCTCTGAAAACTAGAGCCTCGGACATTACCTAGACTATCCTTGCGTGTATGTGATTTTTGTGTATTTCTGTCGCATCTTGTCCAATCATGACAGAAACCATGAATGCGTATTCTTGGAACTGTAGATCGTTGAAACTTTTAAGTACAGCATTCGAGCTTTTGCTGAGTTCTCATTCACTTGCAGCTGGACAGACCAGCAAAGAGCTCAAGCTGCCAAAGAAGGTTGGGGGTATCGGTTACTATATTCTGCTCGTCTGGTAAACTCTGTCACTTGCAATATCTTGTTGCATCTGAACACCCGTTTCAGTAATACGATTGTTTACTCTTGATATGGCAATGACATGTTGAATATGCTTCACAGGTCGGAGTATTCCTGGCTGCCGATGCCTTGTTTATCGGCACCCAGCAGCTGGCTCGTTATCTTCAGGACTTTAGGGGTCACTAGGATCTCAATAGCCGAGTCATGAGCTGCTCCATTCCGAAGCGATAACGGTAGCCAAGGTAGAGGATGACAGGACCTTCTTGCATTTTGACGTCTCTTGGACATGTTTCTGTGTTGTGACAGAATTTCTATGCTTAACCCAAAAGTTTTGCATCTTGAAATGATTTGATCTCCCATTGAAGTAAAAACTGTAGTTTGATTCTCGTCTTTTCCACGAAATGAGAACCCACTTCCTATCAGTTGTCTCTCGGCTTCGGTGTCGTACATACACGAGATGGAGTTGTACATGTCCGTATATGAACGGTTATTTTTCCTATTAATGTGTTATTTTTGCACAACCGAAATTCTCACATAGCAAACACACGCGTACCTTGTTTTCTTACGAATTCTTTTACACAATTAAAAATATGTATGAATTTTAAAACAGTTTATTATTAGTTTTATAGTTAAAATGTAATACATTTTGTTTCTGATTTTATAATTCATATTTTTAAAATGTCAATATTGTTGGTTATTTTAGAGTAAATTAATTAATCTAAAAATCTTTCAAAGAATTTATGTTAACATGTATTACAAATACGGTGGAGTAGTTATTACTTGTAAATGACGCAATATGAATTGGTTAAAGTGTTAAGGATTTGCCGGAAAAAATTTACGTTCGATTTGTAACATATAGAGCAATTTTGAATTGACGATCGATCTATCGTGTTAGTCGATGGATCGATCGTGAGTCCGAAACTGCACTAAAAGTTATAGAGGACACCATAGCGCCATCGTCGAAGGACGATGGCTCGATTATGTACTCGGAAAAACACAGCAAGTTACGGAAATTTACAGATTTCGCGATCGAGCTACCGTTAGGTCAACCATGGAGCCGCGATCATAGATAGCTTAATAAGAGGACACCTACATGGATGCTCAATCCCGCGACTCCTCCCACGGGTCCTGCTAAAGGACCTGCATGGTTCTCTCTCCTACACCCTTTTATCTTGCATTCATTTTAGCTAACTTGCATTTCATAGTATTGTAGTTCATTCACATTTCATAGGTTTCATTGGAACGCATCGGAGAAGAAGGAACTCTAAGCAGAAGATCACTCCATCGGAAG